CACTGCATTACTAGCTCCAGAGTAGGGATGTAGAGAATAGTCGACTGGAGTATCAACTACTCACTTTCCCCACCCCTGCTGCCTCTATGAGTGGCAGCAAGGGGGGGGAGACAAGAGCCACTGCTGCGAGGAGCCAGCTTAAAAGCCAGTTCCCCCCAGCATGGGCTCCACGGTGCCGTCTGTCTCCCTCCCCTGCTGCCTCTATTGGAGGCAGTGGGGGAGGAAACATGGGAAGCTGCTGTGAAGCAGCCTCTGCCCATGGTAGACTGAGGTTCGCCATGGGCAGAGGCTGCTCCAGGAGCAGCCCCCGTCCATGGAGGCTGCCGCAAACAGGGGCTGCTGGACTCAGCACAAGCTGGGACCAAGCAGTCCTGGCAGCTCTTGCCGCATTTAAAATGCAGAGCCTCAGGGCGATGGCTCCCGGAGCTAGCACAAGCCGGGACTGCTCAGTCGTGGCTCGAGCTGGCTCCAGAAGCGAACCCCGCTGCAGCTCTGCAGAGCTGTCCTATCGACTAATCATGTAGTCTGTGCAAATTGTATCAACTACACGATTAGTCAGATAACCACAATTTAACATCCCTGCTCCAGAGGGGCTACTGAAGCTTCAGCTCATGCCTCCAGAGGGGCTACTAGCTTGCATTTAAAGCACCATTTAATTTGACCTAGCGATTTGTGTGTGTGCATGGCAGTTGGGGAAGGGACACAACTTGAATGGCAAAGCTCTTACTCTTCTTGCCAAGAAGCAAAGAGGCTCAGGAGCCATAAGACACGGTGTGGCCTTCCTGCTTGTGTGAACTTTCTTGCGGCTATCTACAGACCAGCCCTGCAGATGCAGGGAAGAGATCTTCCTTCTCAGATGCAGCGTTATGCAAAGCAAACAGTTACTGCTGGCGAGGGGAGAGGGTTGAAATTCCAATTGGTCGTTGAACTGCCTAGAGCAGAGGTGGGTAACTTGCGGCCTGAGGGCCACATGCAGCCTACCAGGTTTTTATATGTGGCCTGCAAGATATTTTATTACTGTTGCCCATGTTCAAAGTTGCCAGATTATGCTGATTTCTGCCCATGTAGGTTTTTTTCCAACTGGTATTACCAAAGTAACACACACATAAAGCAAAGGCACATGAAGTGAGATGAGTGCTGACTGCACACAACATTGATTGTGAGAGCCTGTGGCACATCCGGCAAATTCTAGGTACCCAAACACAGTTAGCAAAACTACCCTGCCCAGGAGACCGTCGTGGTTACAATAATCTTGCGGCCCACTGAGATGAAGAAGGGCCACTCATGCAGCCTATTCAGTAGCCTAGGTTGCCCTTCATTGCCCTAGAGCTACTGTTCTGAGATTGTCTTTGTCGCACCCCATAAAAGTAAAACACCTTTGCTGTAGTGGCTTCTCTGTGTAATGATACATCTGCAAAGATGAGTACAATTTTCACTAAAACAGAACTGCACACAATTATGTTTAATTTTGCAGGTGAGAGTGCAGCTACTGGATCGATTGCCGGCTGCTTGTATGGATTGCTTTACGGCCTAAACAAGGTTCCCAAAGGCTTGTACCAGGATCTTGAACACAGGGAGAGGCTAGAATTCTTGGGCGAGACTCTTTACCAACGATCCACAGAGGAAAAGTAAAGCAGTTTCTGCCATTTTTCTTTTTCTATAAAGACTGTGTCAAACACTGTAGATAATTTACTAATCATAATAACACTGTTCTAGGCTGGTGAGGTATCGTTCCAAAAGGTTTCTGCAGAATGCGTATAAGTGCAGTTAGCTGAGTCATTCAAAAGTAACTGGACACTACAGATGTTCAGTTTTTCAGAGCCGCAGGGATTTTTGAGAATCAAACCGGCTCTTAAAAAGAACAATACAGGCCACTGAGATCATCTGAAATTAAAAACATATAAATAAATAAAACCCTCTTATTAAATTCTGCCTACCTTACTAATGCCAACTCTAAAAAGCGATTAGCGGTAGTCTGTTGTACACATATGTAATTAACTTTCAAAACTAATGCTTTTCTGCCAAACTAATAGTATGACCCTTTTGTGAGGATGTCTCGTTCCCTGTAGATGTTAAACTTTTGATGGTTCTACCACCTCCCTCTTTCCTTCTCCTCACATCTAATGTCTCTGTGATACTTCCAAATCTCACCATCTATTCATTTAGGAAATGTTAACCCTTTGTCAGCACTATGGTATATATGTATTGTTATGTGAGAAGCTTTCAGAAAGGAAAGGCCAACACTAGCAACACCTCCAAGATACAGCAAAGTATCCCTGTGTTTAATATTTCTGCATTGTTATTTTTTTCAGTCTAGACTCTTCAAAAAAATTTAAAAATCAAGTGGCTGAAATATTTGTAAATAAATTCATCTTATGCTTCTCATAAGCATCATTTCTTCATTTTTAGATCATGCTTGTAAGTTGCTGCATCAGAATTTTTTGGCTGAGGTCATCAAAGTGCTATCATACGTCACCAGTCAGGCTAAGATGGGTTTCATATGACAGAGATTTCTCTCACAAAGAGGCCTGGAGAAAAAACAGTTACTAAAAATTAGTATCTGAGCTGAATAAAATTAACAGTAGAATTTAGTGAACCATAATCTGATCTGTAATTCTGGCATATATCTGGAATGACTCCCATTAGTGGAATTATACCAGTGTCAATTCTGTAGTAATTGAGAGCAGAATTTGGTCCTGTATGTTAAATGCCATGTTTTAGCACAGAGAGTCTTAAACTGTGGTCCACAGAGAACATTCTAATGGCCCACAGAGAGCTGACTGGTCACGTGATCCTGTTTTCGCCTCTTTATTTTCACTTACTGACTTGCATTTAAAAAGGCAGCAAAAAATACATACATACGCTTTTATTACTTTTCCATATAAGCAATCAGTGTAATTACCATTGGGATGTTTATGTGATAGAAAGGGGAGCAGGTGATCCATGTCACTCTGATTAGTAGAGAAGATGGTCTACATGCCAATCTCTTTGTTAAAATATAGGCTACTCTATGGACAACATTAAATGCTCTTGTTTTAGCAAGTTCTCTATTTGCATCTTTCCTATGTGCTGCTTTCTCATTTTGAGCCTATGTAAATGTTTAGACAAAGAAGGATATTTATTTGTAACATGACTTTATATAAAAGAAAAACATCAAGACTTTCTGAAAACCTTCTTTCTAGTTTACAATGCCTCTAGCATTTCTAGGATTTTCTCTTGTATAGTCAACTTTTCCTTTACCCAGGAAAAAACTCCAGCAAAAAAGAAACAGTCATTCCACAAAGGTGGCGCACCATGTCATTAGACTTTGCAAGGTTGAACTAACTTATTGTTGCTGTAATTTTAAAGTTAACAATTGTCAGTATTATTCTTCTGTAATTTATCAAAGCTATCCCATTATTGATCTTCCCTCACGTTCACCAGGAAGAAGGACCAAAAACTTAATTTTAGAGACAGAAGAACTAATCTAATTTTACAAGGATGGTTCACACTGACAGAAGCTCTAAAGTAGGCAATTTCGAACTAAGCATTATTTCTATAGGGGCAAAGAGGCTATTGGCTACCACTTTATTAAGGCTGTAACAAGGTTTAATCATCAACATGAATAAGAGTAACCTCTATAGCAAAGGAACACAGTTGTTGCTTTCCTTTACTGTAGGCAATTCTTTGAACCAAATTAGATGCAAAGCCAGAGGACTTCAAGATACTGTGTGTGGTCTCTAGCGTAACATCTCCTTTCCGCCCTCTTGTTATGGCCATCTGACTCAAACTAAGATTCAACTAACTTCTAGTTAGAGCTACTAATAGTCAGGCCCTGGAATCTTTTATAAGTGGATACAGAGTAAACTTCATTCCCGATAACCAAACACCAAGCACCTTTCCCAAAAAGCTTTGAACCAGCATTACTCTCTCCACTTGAGGTATTAAAACTTGCTAACACGAAGAAGAAGGTGCTGAAGCAAGAGCCAACTCACTGACAACTGGACAATAACTTAACATTATCCAATGTAGAGAAAAGAAAATGCAACCAGCTAATTAGGATGCAAATAACCTAATTGCAAGAACTTAAACCACATATAGCAGTTACAAACCACATGGCCAGGCCTGGCTGTCTTACCCATTGCAGTGTGAGCAAGTAGGAAAAGCTTTCTCATAGGGACAAAGGGTCATGAGAAGCAGCATAGCTCTTGCTATGTGTTTGCTCTCCCCCATCTATAGCAGCTTTCAGCTAGGCAATGGGATCAGTCAATGGGGTGACCAGTCATGCAGCTTATAATAAAACAGCTTGTCATGATTGGCTGCTGGAGCTGTTATATTCTTCACTTGATGATCCTGGCAAGAATGGCTGGGGGCTGCCTATTCTGTAAGGAAGGAGTGAATGGAAGAGAGTAGAGGCAAATATTTGTTGTCATGCAAAGGAGCTAAGGAAAAACCTTCTTTAATTAGGACAAGTTCGCTGGGTCTAATGCAGCTCTCATCAACCTTCTAAAATCTAAGCACCCCTTCAAGAAAATGAAACCATTTGTACCTCTGCTGTCCTGCCATGCCAGCAAGGCAGCACAGGGGAAACCTGCACTACCACTCTTCTGCACCCCCAGTTCACAAGGATAGTCCTCTGAGACACATCAGTATAACATTAAAAAGGAAACTCAAGCACTTGAGGGCCAAGAATTAGTTTGCAGGGCTGTAACAAGGGTGGGGCAAGCGGGGCACTCGCCCCGGGCACATCATAATCAGGGGTGCACAGCTGCAATAAGTAAAACTAATAAACTGCAAAAGTAAAGAGTATGACACATGCTGACCTAAAGAGAGGGGGCACATAATTCATATTTTGCTCCAGGCACAAAATACCTAGTTACGGCACGGTCAGTTTGTTATTGTTTACCAGAGGTTTTAACAAAGTCTGCCATGGTTATTTCATGAGAGTCCTGTGTTGTTAACGCGAGCCTTCCCTTGCAGCGCTGGCAAACCATGGTGCTCCCAGCGTGTGCCAGCCAGAAGCTGAATGGCTTAGTGTGGGCTGAAGAACACTAAGAAGGGCAACTCCCAGCAGCCACCTTCCAATGGTAAAAAAAGAGAGCTCCAAATCCTCTGCAATGTGTGTGTATTGGAAAGCACCCTACCCCTGTAAGCCCCCACAGGCACTGCTGCAGTGCTGGGCTAGGGTTCCAGAAACCTCCACCGTCCCAGCACAGAAACACAAAGGGGCCGGGGGCCACGGTTGTTCAGAGGAGTAACAGATGAATTGGTATGAGCTTCCTCTCCCTGCCCTATTTCCAGCAGCTCTTCCTGCTCAGGTACTGAACACATCTCCACCGCCCCAAAGGCACAGGGTCTGACCATCTGTGACATGTCAGTGTCCCCTACAAAGGCTTTCACTGGGATAACCCTGTCACTGGGACTGAATAAGCAGTTCAGCCTGTTGGTGTTTTGGGCTGTTGGCATTCAGTTCAGCGATGAGTGTCACAGAAGTGCCTAGGAATAAATGAGAGACAAGGTGGGTGAGGTAGTATCTTTTATTGGCCCAATATCTGTTGGTGAGAGAGAGAAGATTTTGAGCTTTCACAGAGCTCTGCCTCAAGTCTGGGTAAGGTAGTCAGTGTATCACAGTAAACGGCAAGGTGGAACAGATTGCTAAGCATAAGGAGTTAACACTTGTTGTAAGAGACCTTACAGACAGACACAAGAAAACCTCACACTTACCACTGCAGATCCAGCAACTGCACCACACGCCCCAAGAAATCTGATATCTACAGCTAGGCTCTAAGGGTATGTCTACACTACATGGCTCCGTCGACGGAGCCATGTAGTGTAGACATACCCGTAGATACCACAGAATATGCTCATAGGCGAAAGTCCAGGATATATATCATAACACACGTAAAGCTGCCCTCACCAAACAAGGACACTTCCCCAAATAAGTAGATTGCATCTTGGAATGGGCCACCCTAATTTCCTGAGAGATCCTGCTTCAATACAGAAGGAGGAGAGGAATTAATGTCACACACACATCTTGTTGTCATCTGTTCTGCCCCATGCTGGAGCCCATGTGGGGAATCATCGCACAATTACAACCCATACTTGATGTGTACCCCATCCTGAGAGAAATATTTACCAAAGCCCTATTTCTGGCTTCAAACAATCCCCCAACCTTCCCAAATCAATCATTAGAATGCATTAACAGATCAGGATGCATTAACTCAAAGCAGCACCATATCCTACCAGAACAGATGAAAAACCTGCAGCCATACTTCCATTGCTACAGTGTTCAAGCTCCTCCATAAGACACCTTTCCATATTCTTGGGTCCTCTACATGCCTATTGCAACATGTGGTGTACCTCATGCAGTGCGTCAAATGGCCCGGCAGTAACTCTGGGAGTAAAGCAGACAATCACTACACACTCAGATGAACTCACACAGAAAACTAATAATACACAAAAACGTCCTATCACTCTTGGGTGAACTATTTTCACAAAATAATAACTCCGTATGTGACCTCTCAGTCTAGGTCCTCAAAAGAAACCTGCACAACACCTTCAAGAGATGAGCATGGGAACTTAAATTCATAATTCTGGTAGACACCAGAAATCATGGACCCAATAAAGACAGGCTTAGGCTACACTGAAGCTTTGCTGTGCTGTGACTTTCTGGCTCCAGGATGTGAAAAAACACCCCTCTGAAGTTAAGGAAGTTACAGCGCTGTAAAGCACCCAGTGTAAACCAGGCTACACACTTCCAGGGGATAGCAGTTAGCTACTCCCCTCCTAAACTGGTTTACTTAGAATGCGGGGAGAGCTCTCTCCCACAGTGGCCTGTGGCCACACCACTTCTTTAAAGCTGCTGCAGCTGCACTTTAAAGTTTTCGGTGTAGATAAACCCATGCTGGTTTTTTGGTCTTATTGCAACTACTAACTCTGTTTTGTCCTGAGGCAGCAGTGTTAACTGTCCACTTTATTCTGAATGGCTTTTTGTAGCATGTTAACTCCTTGTGCTTGGCAATCAATTCCACCTCCTGGCCTTATTCTGAGTCACTTTCCCAGACCCGAAGAAGAGCTCTGGGAAGCGGGAAAGCTTGTCCCTCTCAGCAAGACAAGTTGGTGCAGCACAAAATACCACCTCAGTCACCTTGCGTGTCCTGGGGCCGACACGGCTATAACACCACTGCAAACAGCTATGTGTAAATACATAAACTGCCCGCTTGCCTCATGAAAAGGTATTATTGATGAAGGGAGGGTGAAGAGAGGTCATTTAAAAGAAGCAAATAAACAAGGCATTTTGAAAGTGATCTTGGGTCATCTGGCCACACATCTGATCAGCCCATTCTGGCAGGTAAAATCATGCAGTTAGGACAAAAGTATTCAGAAAAGAATTTATCTAGAGCTTCTAGGGCAGAGAGAAAAGAGAAGCCAGGTATATATTGTGCTGCCCACTGCCATGGGGGAGTTCTAGGTTCCATTTCCAGACTGCTATCTATCTTGCTCCTTGCTCTAGTTCATGGCCTGGGGTGGTGCTTTGCACTTCTCAAGAAAGAACCCTCGGGTTAAGAAATGGTGTTAACAGACTCTCACTATGCTCAACAGCCTTAAGGGACCATCCTTCCCAGTTCCTCTCAGCAATAATGACAGGTGGTTATAGTTCAAGGAATAAAGGGTAGGAGTTGGGATAATTTTAGGGATGAAAGCTTGACCCCATTGAAATCAGGGTCTAACCTCCCATTCAACATAGCCAAGATTGCTCTGCAGGACTTCATGCAGCGGACTCTCCCATATGAAATGAATTTTTTTTTATGCTGTGATAACAGTATCAGCATTGCCCATGCATGTCCCCACACACCTGTATTTATATTAGAGAAATAAATTCATCAAGTGAACCCAGGATTTCTATTTCATGGTACATGGTCATCTGAGAGAACACAACTTTCGTAAATACATTGTAGTGCTTGTTTGTGGGTGAGATCATCTTGGAAAAACTTCACATGCCCTGAATAGATAGAGGAGCACTTGTTCATCTTCTGTTACTAGATGATGAACATAGACCAAACATTCTGATACAGGATATGCAACATATTAATTTGTGAACTTCTAAAACAGTGTAATATTTCTGAAAACTAAATTAAAATGCACCCTAATAAATCACTTTAAAATACATCCTATTGATTTGACCTCACTCTTGTTTCTTTTACCACCTAATGATCATTGTGTTATTGCCCTCAACTGATTGATTAATGCTATTACAATGAACTTCAAACTAATAACAAGAGGGTCTGAACCTGTTTTGACTGCAGTCAATTTGGGTTTTGCTATTAATGTTAGTAGAAGCCAGATTGGCCCATACTTTATTATATGTTTAAGGAATGCTCACAGTATGGAAGGCACTTTTTAGAGAGTACAGCCCCTCCTGGCAGGCTTGCAGTCAGAGGTCAGACAGACAGAAGAATAAGGCAGGGTTACAGGGAATGGGTGAGGGAATTCTTCTTTCTCTTCTTAATTCTCACAAACAATTCTAAATAAACTGTGAACAATCAACTCAAATGTCATGATGCCAGAGTTTTCAAAATTATATTCCATCAGAGTTCTTGGTTGATAGACATTGACCATTTGGCTTTCTCTATGCCTTGCAATCCAAAACAAAACTAAAGAAAATGAAACAAAAGCTTTTAAATCACTGACTATACTTAATCTCCTCCTGCCTTAAACGCCCTTATCCATAACAGGAGAGAGGGAGGGACTACAATCTAATGATAGCCAATGAAAGCATCTTTCTGAAATTAACACCAGTTGTAAAAAATGGAACTCTGAATATGACCTCAGAATTGGCTTCATTATATTTGTTTCTTTGTGTCTGTTACTATTTACGAGAAGGGGTACTTAATCTGTGTTACCATGTACTGTAAATGAGAAGGACATCTGTGCTATGAGGAAATGTAGCCATTCACAGTTGAAACCCAGAGCCTCATTGTTTGTTATATAGACATCAGCCAGCTGTCAATATCTGTTTTGGTCTTCTAAAATACCCAGAAGGTCATTATAAATAGAACCAATTACATCCATCAGCTTAATCCCATGCTATTGTGTGTAATTTTTAACCGCCTTCTCTTCTGTATACTTGAAATGTAGCTATCTGAAAGCCAGATTTGGTCAGTCTTTTTGACAATGAGCAGTACCTTGCTCTCCAGGTAGCCTCACTAAAATCACACCATAGGCTTGGTTTTAATATCCCATTGAAATCAATGGTGTACCACTTGCTGTCGAGAAGAATGACTGGATCTGGCCCTACAAAAACACAGTTTTCAAGACTAATTACTACATGAAACGTGAACAGTTTTGCAAACTCTTTTTATTCTATTCACGTACTTTATTAGTCAGGTTTCACTTACAGAATGTGTTGTCCCATGTCTGCTCGTATATGACACGGACATAACAATGAATCCTCCAAATCTTCTCCTGCTTTGTTGACTGGAATCCATTCACAATAGTATTTTACTACATAGTGAAGTAATGCAGATTCTCCAGGGTGCTAAAAAGCTGAGACCTTTTGTGTTTTTTCCAAAGCATTATTGTTACTGACTTCATTCTACAGCTTTTGCATTAAGTTCTGTATTTTGTTTAGTAACCAATCAGCAGCATTTTCTAAAGCCTTGACTCTCTGAAGGCCTAACCCTTCAAACTGAACTGTAGATACAGCGTGCCAGATTTCCCGCTCCCAGTTAAACACTGAAAGGCAGCAGTAGTCGAGTGACATTGCTATGGTTATCATTAAATACAGTGCACTATCTCCAGCTCTGTCCTACGTGTTTCAGAAAACAGATTTAATGTGGCATTTCCCACATGCCAAATGTCCCAGATCAGATTAGATTCCTAGTTAACTGGAACTAGCTCATGGCTAATTTCTAAATTGTATCTATAGTGATACTTTAGTCTGTGGCTTATTTACACTTTTTGGTCTTCAGATTTTGTTTTTATTTTTAATTTTTTTAAGTGACAGACAGAGGCATATTTCCAGACTCAGTATGCTCTTATCTTTATTGATTAACATGCGTGGAAGTGTTTGGTTACATTTGCATATCAGGGAACAATAATATTAACGAGGGTGAGAAATGGTGAAGATGAGCTTTGTTCATTGTTAGTGTTGCTTATTCTCATGCACATTTGCCAGTTACTGTCCTATGCTACCTGAATGTTTAAAATGTCACAAAACACCTGACAAATTGCAGGCTACCCAATATAGATTATCAGGCTCATTGATGAGACAGAGAAAGGGACAAAGAGAGCAGTTGTCCTGAGGCCTGGTGATTTAAAAGAGCCTGGGATTCCTGGCTGCCACTTCTTCAGGAGTGGTGGTAGCTGGAACCCGGGGCCCTTTAAATCACCACTGGAGTGCTGTGTGGTATGCTCTGAGCAGCTCTAAGGACTGCCTGGGCAAGATTGGGCCTGATGGCATTGAGGGTTGGCTACTCCAGCCCTACAGAGTGTTCACTCTAAGCTGAGCAGCAGCACAGCTTCACTGTTGATTAATCAGCCCTACCCAGTCAGACGCTCAGGGCTCCCTGCACAGAGCTGACTGATTGGGTAAGGCTGATTAATCACCTGTGAAGCTGTGCTGTCTTGTAGCTTGGGCTATGTATACACCAGACTTGTTGACTTGTCCCACAACTTGAACTCGAGTCCGACTTAAGTCACCTAGGTGACTCGACTTGAGACTCCACTTGGGGTCATTGTTTGTGACTTGAGACTTGCTAATTTTGTTAAATTGACTTAGTGAAAAAATTGTCCAAAAATGCCGATATTGGTGGCTTGTAAAAAAGTGACTTGACATTTTTTAAATTAAGACTTGAGACTCGACTTGGGACTAGACTCGAAAGTGACTTTAGGGACTCGAGACTCAACTTGAGACTTGAACTGTAGTGACTTGAGACTCGACTTGGATTTGACAATGATGACTTGAAGACAACACTGGTCTACACTGTGGGGGTTTTCCGGGATACTATCCCAGAAAAACCCTGCTGCATCCAGGGAAAGCATTTGCTCTTCCATTTTTTTTTCAAGGAAGAGCAAATGTGCTCTTTCAGGGAGCCCTGTATTCCTTGTTTCACAAGTAATAAGGGTTCCTCCGAAAGAGGAGGCTTTTTTGCCATTTGGCCCCCTGTAGACGGCCAAAAGTTTCTTCCAAAAAAAGGCGGAAAAAGCTATGCAAAATGTGGAGCGCATTTTGCGTAGCCTTTTCGGCAAAAATGTTGCAGTCTAGACCTAGCCTTAGAAGGAACACTGCCGAGGCCCCGCCCTTTCTTGGAGTGAGAAGCCAGCACACCCCTACACCTTGCCCCGGGGGGGAGGGCAGCAGATCTGTTGGCACCACTGACTGTTATTAAAAACTTGCTTATGCACACACGCCACAAGATGCTTCATAAGGCTTCTAAAATATTTTGCATGCTGTTATCAGGCAACTAACTATGACTCAGTTAAGAACAGTAATTTAAGGTATTCTGTTTTATGCACTATATGTGTAATTGAAAAGCATAAGATAAGAAGAAAGCGAATGGTACAGGTCTTGTCAATACAGCTTTAGGGTCTCCCACCGACCAATTTCTAATTGTATGTTTGTGTATAACACTAAGCTTATCTTGATTTAAGTCGTAAAACATGTTTTAGAAGATTTCTAATATAAAAGAATGGATCTGTTAATAAATAAAATGAAAATAATATAGAGTAATGAAATGGAAGCAATACTGATGACTTCAAAAGAGCATTCATTTTCTTTTATGCAGCACTAAATGTACAAAGTTTTGCTGTGATAAGATGCTGATAGATCCCATGGTGCTGAAGAAGAAGCTAAATAAGATGGCAACAGAACCAGGGGCTTTTGCTGTCCTCAGCAGCCTGCTGCTTTACATCACAGACCTCGCGGCCTGCGACCCACAGATGCCGAGGAAGAAGGCAAAGTGGGCAGAAGGCAAAGAAAACAAGATGAATTGTAATCCTGCATGCCAACGTGCAAACATCAAGCGCCCCACAAGATTCCAGCTTTTGCAGTCCAAGTTCATGAACAACAATCGTGAGCCGTATATAAAGAAGACAAGAGAAGTTGGCAAACTGATCATTAAAGAAAAGCAGTGGGTGAACAGGAGCTGTCTAAATGCCACGGTTAATAAATTAGATAGAAATAAGGAGAAAAAAGGAAGTAGTGCAGCACCAGATGAGAACGAAAAGGTCATTCCTAATGAGAGGGGCAAGTGGAATAGCGTGATTGGGAAAAATACAGTGAAAAACATTCTGAAGAAATTTTTAGCTGCCGAGGAGAAAGCAGCTAAGGAGAAAACTTCTGTCGGGAAAAAGAAAGAGACAAATAGCAATTTGCCAAAAATAATTGGCAAGAATTCTGTTCTGTCCAAACTGAAGGAAAAGTTTGAACAAGCTGGTTCTGTTTGTTCACCCCCTGAGGTAAAGAAACTGTTGTCACACAAAGGTGAGAAAAATAATACAAAGGTCCCAAACAGACAACCTGTTCACAAAGCAGAGGTAAGAGAACTACACACTGTGGTAGTGACAGCTACGGCACTAAATAACCATCACTCCCAGAATTTAGTGTGCACAACTGCTCCAATGCCTAGATTCAGTGTTGTGACTGAAATTAGCCATCCCTGGAGCTGGATGACAAACAACACTGATAGTAATCAGCCTTTTGATCATGGCACTCAAATAGGAGAGAGAAGTGACTCTGACAACACACATGATATTAAGCCTGGTAAGAATGAAATGCCAGAAAATATGGCACAAGGCAGAGAGTACAAAGGACAGATACGCAATGTGCAATGTGCAATGCCCAAGGTCATGACTGACGAGAAGGATGGTGTTGAGACTAAAATAGATTCCACAAACCACGGAACTGATTTTCTTCCTAATTTAGACAGCTCTTCTACTTTCTGTAAAAATAAAGCCCTCACAGGCTGCATTCCGACCTTATCTAAGGCCAGCCAACACCACAAGGGGAATAGCACATTAGCAGGATTTGATATATCTGCATCTGGGGATAATAAAGCTGTTCAAAATGTTAGTAAAGACAATCCATCTACCAACTTGTCTTATTCTGATATAGCTGAAGGACCTAGTGCACACAGTCGCCAGGCTATTAAAGGGGTTGAGAATCCTAAAATACCAGTGAGTGTATGCAGTCCAAAGGAGACAGAAGTGGAGTTCTCAGAGTCAGAAAAAGATCCTATCTTGGCAAGCCAAAAATGTTTTCCAGAGGAGAAACTATTGGAAAATATTCAACTGTTTTGCTCCCCAGTAGTTCAGGCATCTCATAATGTAGCACTTCCAAATGATGACCTGCAGTTAATTGTTAAAATACCTGTTACTGTCAAAATGTCACCACTGATGTCAAGGCAAGAAAACACACCAGATTTTAAAGGTAAACATTCTGCAGCAGCTGTAAAAAAAGAGAAATTTCACTATAAACAAGAAATATTTCCTAGTTCTAAAAAAAAGTATTGCAAAGTTACCTCTAAGCAAGAAGAGGAGCCCAAGGTAAACCCAAACAAGCTGTCGGAGTGTCAAATGCAAACTGAACAAATAATTCAGGAATTACAACCACATCAAATGCTCAGCCCACAAAATAACATTGATAATTTCAGCGCTAATGTATCAAATCCGACTGTGAATCAGACAAACCAAGTACACTCATTGAATAGTTCAGATAAGGAAAAAAACAGTACTGCAGAAGGACAGCGTATCTGCTTTGAGTCTGAAAAAGACCAAAGTCCATTGTCAAGTAATTTAGAGAAGCACAGTTATATACCAGAAGAAAACTTTGGGAAGGACCAATTATCCTCATCACTTGAAACGGCAAGTCATGAAAACAATACTGCTAGGGAAAGGAATACCTTGTGTCACTTGAAGACTTATCAAATGCCATCAAAGTACTCAATGAAGCATGGAAGTGACATTGCAGATGAGAATCCGTGGCCTAATTCTGAGACGTGTCAGTCATTTTCATCAAATTATTTAACAAAGCACAAAAACAATGCTGCAGAACAAAGAATGTGGCATGCTATTGAAAAGCCCCAGTGCCCATCATCAAAAGATTTGGTGAAAGATGAAAACTATATTGTAGAAGATAAGAAGGCTTGTCATAATTCAGATAAGTACCATTTACCTTCTTCAAATGAATCAGTAAAGCATGAAGATGATATTAGAGCAAAGAATGTTATGAATAACTGTGAGAATTACCAGACATCACCATCATCAAGTGATGTCACAAATCAAGAAAATAATACAGCCAAAGAGAAGAATATCCATCATATTTCTGAGAAGAATCAGTTACTTTCACCAAAAGAACTGGGGAAGCATGAAAATAATACTGTAGAAGAAATGAATAACTTAGAGAAATCCCAGTTACCCTCATCAAATGCATTGGTGATGTCTAAAAACAATACCACAGTAAGCAAAAGCCCCTTTAAGCAAAAGCAAAAGTACCAACTACCCACTCCAAATGAATCAGGGGAGCATGAAAAGAATACTGCAGTAAAGACAAAACCCTGGTCTAATTTGAAGCAGGACCAATTGCCAACTTCATATGATACTCTGAATTATGAAAATGATATAAGTCATGAGAACTCTGAGAAAAACCAGTTTCCCTCATCAAATGAAATGGTGATGCATGAAAATAATAGTGCAAGTCAGAGACATAACTTACATAAACATGAAGAGGATCAAATACTGTCATCAGATTATGGGTTGAATCATGAAAATGATACAATGGAAGAAAAGAATGCTACTGCAGCAGGGAGCAATACCTTGTGTAATTCGGAGATGTGCCTTATGCCAGCATGGGGTGATGTTATGAAACATGGAGATAATAATGCAAAAGAGAAGAATTCTTATAGTTTTGAGACATGCCAATTACCTTCTTCAAAGAATAAAATTAACACTCCAGGAATGAGAAATACCTTGTGTAACATCAAATACCAAATGCCATCAAGAGATGTAGTGGAATGTGAATATGATACAACAGAAGATGAAAACACCTATTGTAACACTAAGAAATGCCAACTGTCCTCATCCAATAAATCAGTGAAAGGTGAAAATAATGCTGCAGTGGCAAGAAATGTCGAGAGTAACTTTAAGAATTGTCAAGAGCCATCCTCAAGGAGTACCAGGAAGCATGAAAGCAAGACTGTCCAAGAGAGGAATACCCATTACCAGTTACTCTCAAGAAATGTACCACAGAAGCATGGAAAGAAAACTACAGTAGAGAGAGATACCTTTTGTGACCCTAAGAAGAACAAAAAACCATCATCAAGTTCATTGGGGAAGCATGAAGATAATGTTACTGTAGACAAGCAACAGCAAACACCATTGTCAGATGATTTTTTGAAGCATGAAACCAAAACTGTGGAAGAGAAGAATAAACATCATAGCTCTGAGAAGTACCAATTAATCGCACCAAATAAATTGGTGAAGCATGGAAAAAATACTGCAGCAGAGAAGAAGCAACAAATACCAATAGCAAATGATTTTAGGACACGTGAAATTAGTACTGTGGAAAAGAAAAGTCCACATTGCAAGGCTGAGAAAAAACAATTACCTGCGTCAAGTAAATCAGAGAAGCATGAAGCTAAGAGTGGGGGAAAGAAAAACAGTTTGTGTGACTTTGAGAAGTTTCAAGCTTCATTGCCAAGCGATCTCATGAAGCATCAAAATGATTCAATATTAGAGAAAAATACGTGGCATAACACTGATAACTGCCAAAAATTACCCCTATCAGAGGATGTATCCAAACATGATACAAATCCTGTAGAACAGAGGAAAACCCAGCCTGGCTTTGAGAAGTACCGCAAACTATCATCAAATGATTTAGCAAAGTATGAAAACATTGCTTCTAAAGGGAAGGCCAGGTGGTCAAGGGCTGATCAAACAAACGACAGAAAAGCAGAACTCCAGGACTGCACTAGAATAATAGCACAGGCAAAATACATAGCAGAAAGTTACAGTGAAGGACCCTTAAATTCATCCTTTAAGCCAATGATTATTAGAGCATCTGATACATTTAAGCATCACACCTGAAATATCTCTACAGATAAACTAAGGACCTAAATTATTTGTATAATCAGATCTTTTTTCCTTCAATCTTCAAGACATTCAATTATCATTTTGTAACTGCACAGATATTGATGTGTATTTGCTAGGGTAGAATTCTTTCACTTTCTTAAACACTGGCCTGAAGAGCTCAACTAAACAAATCACAGAATCATAGAATGATAGAAGATTGGGGTTGGAAGAGATTTCGTGAGGTCATGAAGTCCAACCCTCTGCTTAAAGCAGAACCAACCCCAATTAAATTATCCTATCCAGGACTTTATCAACCCAGGCCTTAAAAGCTTCTAAGGATGGAGATTCCTCGTCTCCCTCAGGAACCCATTCTAGGGCCTCACTGCAAGTATATCAATTAATAATCTGATTAATCATCAATTTATCAAGTATGAGAGAGGCTAAGAGATCATGAAAAAATGTAATCCTGCTCCAATCTCTCTTTGATAATGCTGGGTTTTGTTTGTAACTAGGGTATTTTGAAGACAAAATGTACATTTATTCATTCTAATAAAATGCTTCAGAGGGGTAGCCCATGTTAGTTTGTTTCAGCAAAAACAATGAGGAGTCTTGTGGCAGCTTAAAGACTAATACATTTATTTGGGCCTAAGCTAACATGGGCTGGAGCCCACTTCATCAGATGCATGAAAAGAAACCCTCCATTTGGCAGGGATATATATACATGCAAAGATGGGTAGAGCCCTGAAAATCTGCTGATATCCACTTTATATCCCCAGCTGTGGATATCAACAGATCATTTTTACAGATATGGATGCAGCTGCAGATACAAATTTTGTATCTAGAACCCTGCAAATTTGTGGATATCCGCTTTATATCCACAGGTATACGCATCTGTGGATGTCAACGCAGATGTTCCCTGTAAGCTGTGTGCTTGGACGGCCACCCAAGAAAGATTCAAGTGCTGCCTAGAAGATGGCTGAGCCACTCACTGCACACTTCTGGCAGCACATGTTTCTACTGGTGGTGCCCATTCACACATGCCTCAGTGCATATAGCAAAATGTATTTTGCACACGGATTAAAAAAATTATAGGGAACATTGTCCATGACTCATTTTTGCAGAAACAGATGTGGATGCAGATACAAATTTTGTATCTATGGAGGGCTCTAACGATAGGTGTGTTACATAACTATGCAGAGGACCAGTGCAAATGAGGTCAATTCAATCAGGGTGGATGTGGCCCATTCCCAAGAGTTGATGAGAAGGTGAGACTACCAAAAGAGGGAAAATTACTTTTTGTAGTGAGTGAGCCATTTCCAGTCTCTATTCAGACCCAATCTGAATAGTGTCAAGTTTGCATATGAATTCCAGTTTCATGCTGACGTCTGTTTTTGAAGTTTTTTGCTGAAGTCTGGCAGCTTTCAACACTGTTACTGCGTGTCTAGGGAGACTGCAGTGCTGTGTAGAGGCTGCCAATGCACATGGCAGAGGGGCATTGCTGGCACATGATGGTATATATCACATTAGTAGATGTGCAGGTGAACGAGCTCCTGATGGTGTGGCTGACTTGGTTAGGTCCTATGAAGATATCATTGAGTAGCTATGCAGGTAGAGTCGGCAACAAGATTTGTCGCAGGGATTTGTTCTTGGGTTATTGCTTCTGTTGTGTGGTGTGTAGTTGCTGGTAAGTATTTGCTTCAGGTTGGGGGACTGTCTGTAAGCAAGGACGGGCCTGCCTTCCAAGGTCTGTGAGAGAGAGGGATCATTTGTAGATCCTCGATGACATGCTGGAGATGCTTTAGCTAGGGGCTGTAGGTAACGGCCAGTGATATCCTGTTACTTCCCTTTATGGGTCTGTCCTATAATAGGTGACTTTGGGGTACCCATCTGGCTCTGTCAATTTGTTTCTTCACTTCCCCAGATAGGTATTGTAGTTTTAAGAATGCTTGATACAGATCCTGTACTTGCGTGGCTGTGTCGGAGGGACTAAAGCAAATGTGGTTGTATCTTAGGACTTGGCTGTAGACAATGGAATGTGTGATGCATTCTGGATGAAAGCTGGAGGCATGTAGATAAGTATAGCACTCAGTAGGTTTCTGGTACAGGGTGGAATTTATGTGACCAGCACTGACTCACACTGTGTTGTCCAGGAAGTGGATCTTTTATCTGGACTGGTCCAGTATGAGGTTTGATGGTGGGGTGGAAATTGTTGACATCCTGGTAGAATTGCACTGGTCCTCTGCATAGAAATGTAACACACCCATCTTTGAAGGTGTATATTTACCAAACTGAAGTTCCAGTACATGCATCAGATGGGTTCCAGCCCACAAAGGCTCATGCCCAAATACATTTGTTAGTCTATAGGGTGCCACAGGGCTCCTCATTGTTTTTAATAAAATGTTGTTACTATGAATGACGTTAGATAGTGTCAGCCTTTGTTAGATCAAAAATGGCCACTTTAGTTCTAGCTTTAAAGATGTAAATGCAAAGCCTGATCCATTGCTAGCATGCATAATATTTCAAGGGTAATGTAAGGACAGGTAGATGCTTCCTTTATTAACAGAAAAGTCTGAAAAGGACAATATGTTAAAGAATGTACTATTGGGTGTTAATATTCTGTCTTATAAACATTGGGAAATATTGATTGAACCTTCTGTAAAGATATTTACCTTTTTGGGTGTGTACAGTAGTGGTATATGTTTGTAGAGAGATGTTATTTCCTAATGCATGTCACTCTATAGCAATGGCCTGTATTCATAAAGGATCATAATGCAGCAGCTACAAGTTCTCAAAAATGGCCCAGTCCTGTAAGATGCTGAGCAAGTCAATGAAAACAGGGTGCTGAGAACGCTGCAGGAAGAATTCAGCACTTTGCAGGATTGGAGTTAAGCTGCCTTTGTGGAATACTGGGGCACGCAGGCCCAAGGCAGGCATTGCCACTGATATTAAAGTAACTAATTGGAAAGTCTTATCTTGCTTGTGCTTTCCTGTCAAGTGCGGCAAGTGTTTACTGTAGTACGATATGAAACTTGATAATAATGAGCAGCCAATGTCATTGAAACGTGCCAGCGGAATGTGGTGTTCAGAGCGGACAATAATAGCAACTTCTGCACAGGGTTTGTGTGTCCCAGGCTTTGTTTGTTATGTTTGCTCCTTGCTGCCACGCTGCTGAACAGAATGTAGCTTCAAAGAGGAATTTTGCTACTAATGTCACATAACACCCGGTGGTAGGTAGGTAGATATTAATATAATGAAGTCCACTGTCACTTGTGCCAGCTTATCTGCCTTGTTTTCATAAGCTGGGCATTACTGAGAGAGGCCTTTTCTAATTAAAAAGGCCTTTATTTAAAGGGCACTTCCTGAGGGCTTTGATTCATTAAATATTATCCATAACTGTCCATACACTGATCCTGGCTCTTTGACAGCCAAGGTCAGCCTGCTTGAAAAGCCAATTAAAACTCCAATCGTTTAAGGGGCAGTAAGCCTCTGAAAGTTGCAGTGCTAATTTAGAAGGGGGAGAGCTCATGCAAATATGCTCTTCTTTATCTATGGCCCATTGCACCACGTTCCTTTGAATTTGTTAGCCATTGCGTGCAGCTACTCAGTAGTTTTCAGAGGTCTGGCTGCTGCTTGTTACCCAGCTTGGCAGAATGCTGCTGTATGACTCCAGCCAAGAGAATGATGACATGAGCAGACTGGCAGCATGCTAAATTCAAATCCCTTTGATGACAGTGTAAAGAGCACAGTTACACAGACAACAGCTGGGCTGGCCAGGCTGGGGGCACTGCTTTGAGAAGTGAGATGGAACACAGTGTTCCCTGGCAGCTAAAGAACGTGATATTTTAAAAACTTTTCTTGAAGACATGGCATTAGCCTTGCTGGCAGCAAGGAGCCCATGGGGTGAAAATCCCCCCTCCCCTCCAAATGCAGAAAGCCAGATAAAAGGCCTGTACACCCTCAAAGCCACAGAATTGGAAGTAAATATGGGTTGTATAATACTGGCCCTCTGCACTGGGGAGAATTGTATCCATAGTCACTTTTTGAGCCAGGTGTCATAGACGCTTCTTAGAACTGAACTAAGCATGGTTGATATGATCATTCTGTAGTATATGACCTAGCTTGAAGCATAAAAATAGTCACATCAGACTAGAGTAGCCAATCCTCTGTTTTCCTTCTTCTCTGGTTGCGTTTTTAAAACTGCAAATAGAGCTGGTTGAATTGGGGGTGATTTTTATAAAAAGGGAGCATGTACTCCCTGCAATAAAAACCTAACAATTGTTAACCTGCAGTTTACAAAGCTGGAAAAATCACCACCTGTGATAAAATAGGGGGCCTTTACTAGCTGTCTGGAACTTGGTAAAGTATTACTTGGGCAGTGCATAGGGAATTTTATCTATGTGTACCAAAAAGCCCAGCTCCTCTGTGTATACCCTGCATGTTTGCTTCGCCTGATACGGCAGAAACTCTATCACAGTATTCTGATCATTTTACTTTCACTACCAGTAGGGTATTAGTGAGAGAGAGAGAGAGAGAGTAACTTTTAGGAGATAAGTTTTGCACTTCTGTATGCCTCAACATACCTGGGTTAGTACAATGGTAAATCCATTAGAGTCAATGGATCACCTTCCACAAGTACACATAAAACACTGCAGCCATTTGCCCCAATTGTGCACATCATACCGAATGTGTGATGGGCCAGTAAAGTAAATCATGTGTTTTCATACCAGTAATTATTAAGGAAATATTAAAACTGTGTTTAGGTATTTAACAAAACCTCGTGTAAGCTTGAGGTGGAGAGAGGCATATCACCGGCCTAGGATGGGAAGGGAACATTACTTCCAACTCCCTTTGTGGCCCTTGACTCAGGGATCCATGTATTGTTTGAACACAAAAGACTCAAATAACATAAAATAAAGCCATTTAGGTGCTGGCTACAGTCCCCACAGTTTTTTCCCTTATTGATAGGCAGGCATCATTTAGCCTTTTCTAAACTGCAGCTTTCCCTTGTCCAAACAAGTCGTTTTTTGTTGTTGTTGCTATTTTATGCTATTTTGTTGGCATCTTATGTTTGTTTTGTTCTATTTGAATTATTAATGTAATCATATACAGTACTGTTACTGTACAAAGTTGTTTTATATTCTACAATAGTTCACTAGGGCTGGGATTTTCCAAAGGCATGAGGGAAATAGATACTCACCTAAGGGACTTAAATACTCAAGCCTATTTGAATTAAATGGGATTTAAGCATCTGATTCCCTTGTTCTGCTTTTCAAAATCCCAATTTAGATCTGCATACACACAAAATAGCAAAACCACAAAAGCTTTGTGCAAATGAAAAGAAGTAAGAATGCAAAGGGTTTCTGCAAAGCAATTTCTGCATGTGTTACTATTTAGAATTTCAAATGTTAATAGCATCTGCCTCATTTCTATATCCAGTTATTTGTGTTAGGATCCCAAGCAAAACTGATGACTATTTTTCATGCTCTGATGCATTTTAAATTGTTTTTGAAACTTTGTAATTTTGCTTTAATTGAACATTAAGGGTCATGAAAAGAAGGTAGTCAGGAAGTATGACTTTGAACTAGAACTTGGGGCATTTGGTGTAAAAGAATTAGGTTTGAGAGGAGGGCTGGAATGTCATACAAGATCTTGATCATCTTGAAATCTGTTCCCCGGATGCTAAGGGAGTGAGGGGAAAGTGCTCACATGCTCTAACGGATCACTGAATTTGAGGTCAGGAAAAATTTATCCCCAGTTTAGATTGGCAGAGATGCTGGGGTATGGGGGAGCAGTTCACCTTCCTTTGAGGCATAGTGCATGGATCACTCACAGGTTTGAATGGTATATTCTCTGCAACTTGAAGCCATTAAACCATGCTTTGAGGACTTCAGTAATTCAGCCAGAGGTAGGGGGCTATTACAGCAGTAGGTGGGTGAAGTTCTGTGGCCTGCAATGTTGAGGTGGTCAGACTAGATGATCACAATGGTCATAGAATCATAGAACCATAGAGCTGGAAGAGACCTCAGAAGGTCATCAAGTCCTTTCTTACCTTAAAGTATTTGGATCTATGTAGGGCTGGCCCTAAACAAATTAGTACCCCAAGTATGGAGCATCTTTGGCACCACCCCCTGCCTTTGTTAAATTTTTGAATATCTTTTGACTGCTCCACGGGATTCTACAAAGGACCAAAACATTCTAGAAGCTAAGTGAAAAATGAATCCACATCCGGGATACCTGAAACATTTTAGTGCGGTCTATTTTCCCTTTTGTTGCTAACCAC